CTCCATGGATGATTTCAGAACTTTTAGATACTTGTCTTCAACTTTGATTTTAAGGGCCCAATGAAATGTTAAAGGCAACATTAGCTTCCATAAATATAATTCAACCAGCTTGTGACAACAAAGGCAGAAGGAGTATTTCAAACTCTTAGAAGTTGGTATGCTTGGCACACACTAACTACGCTTATATCCTATGGCTATTAGGCATGGAAACTTTCTATGGAATATCCATTACTCATTCCCTCTGCTCTAAACACATAGCCTGTCAGAAAAATAGTGTGGGGAGGGGTACAGAGGAAGCCAAACTTAAAACGCAGGAAAAGGCAGAGACAAGTAAATTCATTGAAGATTTACACCATGTTTTCAATGGCTTCTTTCATTTAATTTCCCCTGGCTTTTTAAATTAGGAAATATACTGGACCCAGAGCGAAACATGGAGAAAAACAGAAAAACAAACAAACAAAAACACAAAGCAGTGCAAATCTCTGTGACTTGTACAATAGCCCCTATTTGCTCCTTGCATTTGAGTATCTGAATGAACTGTGGTCTGCTTTTCATTATTCTCCATCTGGAGCTGTTGCCTGCTTTGTTCAGCAATTTCTGGTCATTTTGGCCTGACGGTGACTGTTTTGTTTTATGTTGCCATATTTTACAGAATGAAAGCTGCCACAGCCACCACCCAAGAAAGAACAATCTTGAAAACGAGAGGTTATGTTGAAAGAGTTCTCCATGACCCTTTCCAGAATAGAGAATGAGTGTGTTTCTCTGGGTCTGCCTACTGTACAGAACTTCAGAATGTGAGTGGGATAAAGGAGGGAACAAAAGCCTTTCTTTCAGATGCTAAGTTAGGGTTAAGACTAACATTGAGCTAATACATCAAGGTTCATTTTGATGCTTTTTCTTTCCATCTCCAAGGAGACTAGTGAATGTACTTCCTCACATTACAATACACATGCATGTAATATACTGCATGTGCAACTGCTCATGAAAAATTGAATTTATATCATGTCTTTAAAAACAAAAATAAATAAGTCTTGTCTTCCCAAGATTTGGTTTTAATTGCATAGCCTGAGTCTAGAGGCAAAGTTGCAAATGGTTCAGAAGCAAGTGTCTCAGAGAAGACCAAATCCAATTTGCATTCTCTAATGACAAGTCTGGTGCTCTTAGTGATTTTGTTTGAAAAAGCCGCCTCACTCTTTCCATCTCCTTCCTGAAGAAAGCCACGGTCAAGAAGAACTCCATTTCTGCTGATTATTTAAAGATGCAAAACACAACATTAACTCCCAATCCATTACCACTTTCACCTGACATTTCACAGAAAAACAAAGAAATATATAGTCAAAGGCTCCTCATATTTCATAAAAAGAACCACCAAAATACAATCAAAACCAGATCATTTTTCCAAAACCTGTTTTTTTTTGTTTGTTTTGCCTGAAAAGACAACAGATTTGGAGAAATGTAAAATTAATAATAATCTATCACCCATATTCCCACCACCTTAATATACTTTTTTGTTTAATATCACCAGTATTTTATACTATAGCTAACACCAGGTATGGTTGAGTGTCATCCATATCCCTTTAACTATCAAATCAGGCTATATTGTTATTATTATCATTTTATGGATAGGTTAACTGAGGCATCCAGAAAAACTGAGTCATTTACCACAGGTCACACAGCTTACTTAGTGGAAAGGCAGTGTTCAAACCAGGCAGTCTGGCTTCACTCCAGACATAAGCATAAGCCATACTTACTCTCAGATATTAATGTAGATCCATATTTATTTTGCATATTATTATATAGTCCCCTATATTCACTTGAATTCCTATAATAAACATGTTCATTGTCTGACACAGCATAATCTTCTTCACTATCAGTGGTATATGCACCATAAGCTAGAATTGGGAGGATGCCTGTTTGTTCAATACAGAGAATGAGTGCTCAGCGTGTGCATATCTACGTATTCCTTAAACATTTGTTTGAATAATATATTTGGAACAACATTCTCAGTGTAATTACTAGCGTCAAAATATGTCCTTTATTGTTCTCTCCAATCTGACTTTTTAAAAAGTCTCTACCAATTTAGGACGATATCAGCAAATATGAGTGAACCAGATGTGTGGAACACAGCATCGGATGGCCTGCATGAAATAATGTTTGCTACCTGAGTGGATATGAATGATCACTGCAAATTACTTTAATTGGCATGTTTCCAACTGTTTCCTGACTCACCCTGAAGACATTGCTCCTTTGTAGCCTTCTCAAGTGTTTGCTGTGTTTTGTTCTTTGTTTTTCCTTTCTCACATCTCTTCTCCCAATGGGCCTATAAGTGGAGAGTCTCCCTTGCTCCTAAGTCCATCTAGTTTTGCTCCTACCTAAAATCTCCAGTTTAGAATTTTTCATAAGAAAATCTTACAATCAGTGTGGAATCTTCATTTTCAGTATTGTCTAGAGATCCCCCCGCCGCCAGTATCATTGCTTTTAGCTCTCCATAAATACCTTCTGGCTCAGTTACTTTCCTTAATACTATTCTTGCTTCGTTTCTTGGATATTTCAATAAGTATTTAGATGGTTGTTTCAATGCCTTGTTTTATCAGTTCCTTGAGCTCCTCAATGATGTCACATCTTCCTTCCAACCTTAGAAACACACTTTCATGGTTATAATTAACAACTGTAGATAATTTTCCATAAATATAATTGCTACCTCTTCACAGATGCATGTTGTTTGTACTGGTAACCATTTCAAGGGCCATTCTTCTGAAAGAGATACTCTAAATAGGATTCAGAATATCACTGAAACAATATTTTCGCTCAAACATGAAAGTGGCATGACAGTAATACCTTTCTGATCATGAGTGCTTACGTTTAGGATACCACCTCCATATACATGAGGAAGACTGCGATTCAGAATCACTACTGTTAATCCATAGGCTCTAAATGCTGAGGCCAAAAAAGACAACTAGAGGCTTTTATTTATGTGTGTATAACGATCACATGTTCCCTCCACCTCCTTCACACTACCTTCAAGGCAAAAGGTCTAATAGCCCTCTGTCTTCCCATAAAGTCATCTTTGGTTGTCCTTTTATTAAATGATTTCCCTAGGTAGGTCTGTGGTCCCTCTCTTCCTTTTTCTTTCCCTTTCCTCCATTCTTTCCTCTCTCTTTCATCACCTTCTATATTTATCAGTGCTTATTATGAACCTTGTAGTCCCCAAACCACTTTTTTTAAAGGTTTTATTTGAGAGAGAGAGAAAGTGAACAAGAGTGAGAGAGAAAGAGCATGAGGGGGGGGCAGAGGGAGAGTGAGGGGAAGCAGACTCCCCACTGAGCAGGGAGCCTGATGCAGGGCTCCATCCCAGGATCCTGGGATCAATACCTGAGCTGAAGGCAGGTGCTTAACTGACCGAGCCACTCAGGCGCCCCACCAAGCCACTCTTTAAACCCATGCTACAATAAAAAAAATATTTTGTATCAGCAAACTCAAAATGTATATGTTTATATGTTTAAAACATATGCATAGTAAGACTATATTATTATTTTCTAAATCATACACAGAAAGTTGATATAAAAACAGAGATATGTTCTAATATTTTCTTCGAGCATTCCTGGCAGATCGTCTAGCCTTCCCCTGCAACACCTCACTTTGAAGGTAAGCTTTCTAGGTTACACAAGTCCTGTCTCCATTGAGCTTAAGTCTCTTTGGAGAGAGAGAGAGAATTAAATAAGCAGTTATAAGAAAATGTGGATAGGAGTGTTAGGAGTTTCCTCTTTTCTAATTATGTGGGTCTGCTCAATTAAATTCTAAAATTCTTTCTCCCAAACTTTCCCCAAGTCCATCCATTCTGACTTAATAAACTTCATTCCCCCAAAAGAAATCTTTATCTCCTCCTCTCACAGTATTTTGTACATATCTCTATTATAAATATCTCCGGTATACTTTCTCATGTATTACGTTGATCACACTGATTCTAACAAGCATTTTAGGATCAATTTCTTGGTTTTCTTGCTAGTTTCCTTTTCAAACTGAACTATTAGATGACAGGAACCATGTCTTATTATTTTTTGTTTTGTAGTACCTAAATACCTAGTGCATTTTTGAGTTTCTAGGAGACATGGAATGCTTTTTTTTTTTTTTTTAATTGCAGAATAGAACCTGACTACCACCAAATAGCCTGGGATATATTTTCAGTATATGAATGTCTATTCCTAAAATGTACATACCTTATATCTATATGTGAAATAGCAGCAGTCTTTAGAATGATCTTAGCCCCACTATACTTCTTGATGTTAGTATCATAAAAAAGGCTGGATTACAGGAGCAATAAATAGCATATGTTACAAGAAGCATTCCAGTTTTCTAGTAAGAACTGAGTCATGCAAGAGAGGCCATACAGATTTCACAAATAGTATGCAATGCAACCCTTGAAAGAGTAAGGGATTCCCAGACATGAAGAAACATGAGTCACAGATATAGTCAAGTAACTTCAGAAATGTTTCCAGGGGAAAAGAAAAGCCTTAATAAGATACCAACTCAGATCCCGAGAGATGCCAACAGCAGAAGCTTAGACACAATGGGCCCATCCGTAAATTCATTCCTAGTCAACCAATGTTGCTAAAGCTTTAAAGAACAGATAAATTAAAACGTGCTTCGCATGGGGAAGTTTTCCCCAGAGTTCCTCATTTTTATATAGGAAATCAATTTGCATCACTGATGATATCATTCAAATCAGACAACCCAAAGTTGTTAAGAGGTAATTTAGTTTTACGCTGAAGCAATTTGATACTTGTTCTGATTTGTGATTTTCATTTTGTTTGTTAATGAAAAAAATTAATGAACAATGTTACTAGAAATACAACTCATCAAAGCCTCGGCATTTTTAAAAGGTTTGCCATGTACTATATGACATGATTATTGCACAACTGATGCCTGGACCTCTGCCTTGGAGGAATCACCAATCCAACAGCCTAGGCAAGAGCCCACGGTACAGATGCCCTTAGACATACCTTTGCACTGATTTGTGTTTTTGTCCAGAATTGCCTTTGTGGATACAATCTTTCCATACCTGAAAGAGAGAGAGAGGGGAAAAAAAATCCATGTTATTATAGCCCAATGAAGACGCTTAAAATACCTTAATGAACATCAGTGCACACACAATTGAGCAGGAATAAACCAAGAAAACAAGCTCGGTACTCCCATTTCACACCTGGATGATCGCTTTTCACCAGTTCTTCTTTATAACTCGAGAATGTGCTTCCCTACATAATCACTGGGTTGAGCCTTCAAAAACAGACCTGTCAGGCTGTCATAGGTGGCTGAAAGGGGGTTTCATGTGATTGTGATCAAAGTAAATCACACTGTGGATTGCTGGAGAAAAGCACAGACCTTGGCGCCAGGCTGAATGGGGCTTACATCCAGCTCTGGTGCTGACCTAGTGTTGTAATGCTGAGCAGTTTAACACAATTTCACCAAAGCCATTTTTTTCATCTGGAAAAAATGAGAATTGTAATAATTCCCTTTCAGGCTTTGGGAGAGGGTTAAATTGAAATACTAAGATTTCCTAGCAGTGCTCCTATGATAAATGGGATTTTTTTTTTCTACTGGAAACATATACTGAGGATAAGTTATCCTCAGTAGTTAAGTTATCCTAAGTAAGTTAACTGAGGATAAGGACTGAATTTTGGATTCTCAGTGCCTGCCACCATATGTAATAGGTACTTCATAAATGTTTACTATAAATAAATAAACAATACGGGTAACCCAGTGGTACTCCATCTGCAATGAAGTGTCTACCAAAAATACATGTAAGTATATTCATTATTTTGTTATCTCTTGCAGAAGACCTAATCTAGGTTTTGTTTTTTAAAAGATGAGCAAACTGGAGAATGAAGCTCAATCTCTTTAAGCCTGTTTCCTAAGATATAAATGATAGAACTAAAGAAGATAATTTCTAAAAACCCCATCCTTCTTTAGGATTCCAGAAGGATGCTCCTGAATCATCACAACATGGATAAATTATCATGCAAATTTAAGTGCCAAGTTTACTAACAATTCACACTTATGGTGACAATCTCAGCCATGTCACAACATATTTGGCAAGTTTTCTTTTAATTCTATGCTCCTAAGCAACTGTGAGTATATAGACAAATAGTAAATATCCCATGTAGTGATAAACTAGGTTCCCTATCACTACTGTTTCTTTTGCATTTATAGGACCCTCTTATTCCAGCATTAATTCTTTGGAGCATTTAGTGGTCATTTATTAATATTCTGGTGTTGATAATGTCATTGTTCTAGAAATGCCTTTGCCTCTTTTCTTTTCTTTCCTACAGATGTTTTTGTTTTTCCTGTTTTTGTTTTTATTTTTAGAGAGAGAGAAGGAGAGAGCATGAGCCAGGGGCAAGGAACACAGGGAGAAGGAGAAAGGAAATCTCAAGTAGACCCCATGCCCAGTGCAGAACCTAACTAACACCCAGCTCATCTCACAACCCTGAGATCATGACCTGAGTCAAAATCAAGTCAGGCACTAACTGACTGAACCAATCCCAGGAACTTCTCAGATGTTTTGATCAAGGATAAATTGAGGGTCCTCTAGAAATTTATGGAATTAATGCTATTATGAAAGTGATGCCACCAAAAGCTTTGAAAAATCATTAGGAGCTGACCTATTAATAGGTCACAGTAGGAACTAGAATATTTGTATATACTTAGATGAAGGGATCTGGAGATAATTCTCCCAGGCCCCAACATGCCTCTTCTTAAAGTCAGCCAGAACTGGAATGAAGCTGTCCAATACCAAATTGAGTAGTTTTTGCCAGCATAATCATGAAATTTAAGCTACTTATATCCCTGGTACCACCATACTTTCTACACCTTTATAACCATAACTCTGTAGTTAACTAAATCAAAGACAGCTAGAGCTGAAAGTGTCTACTACTATTTTGCAAATGTAAAAAAAAATAATCTAACAGATTAATAACTTGATCAAAATCACGTAATTTGTGAAAGTTAAAGGAGGGACCAGAATATGGGATTCTTAAGATTGGTACAGTGCTTAACCATTATACCACCTGCTTCCAAAACAGAAAAGCTACATATCTCAACTCTTCTAGTTTCATCAATCTTCATGTTTTTGAGAATTCAGGTATTTGGATCCAGGGTAATATAGTGTAGTAGTAAAAAGAATATGCTGTGGCAACAAATTGCCATGGCTCATATCTCAGTTCAGTCTGGGTATTTTTAATTGGCTAAGCAAGCCTTATGTGTTCTTTGTGTCAATTCACCATCTATAATTTTACAAATCTATTTATTTAAATGTTCATTTAGGTTATTATTTGTTTAAATTTACATATACCTATGTACAAATATATAAAATTATGATAATAACCTCTACCTCAACGGGTTGTTTTGAGAGTTAAGTGGAGTTCACCTAAAATGATAACAGTGGCTGGCACAGAATAAGAGCTCATTAAATATTAGCTCTTCTTACAATTATTTCCTTCCTGTTATCTGCTATATAAAAAAATCTCTAGTCCTTGGCATTCTCTGAGGTAGATTAGAAATAGAAGGGGGTAAAGTTCTGTCCCAAACAAGAGCTTTAAAACATTACTACTTAGACTATCAAAATCTTTCACTAAGAAATTTGGCAGATAAAATTATTTCCTAGAAGGATAATTTACATTTACCATTTATGTTGTTATTTTTAATATTAGGGATTACATTAACTATGTTGTCACTGTACTTAATCATATAAATGCCCATAGGTTCAAAGCTTTTGTTTGGTGTGTGTGTGTGTGTGTGTGTGTGTGTGTGTGTGTGTGTGTTAGGTACTACATGCCTATTACTATACAAGCCCACTTTCTCCAAAATTTCTTATTCCCCAACATCCCCATGCCAAAAAACACATATAGCCTCTCCTTCAAGCTCTATTTCATCCCAAGAGTTTCTCTTTTATGAAAATAATCAATAGGGGATCCCTGGGTGGCTCAGCGGTTTGGTGCCTGCCTTTGGCTCAGGGCGCGATCCTGGAGTCCTAGGATCGAGTCCCTCATCGGGCTCCCGGCATGGAGCCTTCTTCTCCCTCCTCCTGTGTCTCTGCCTCTCTCTCTCTCTCTCTCTCTCTCTCTGTCTATCATAAATAAATAAATAAATAAATAAATAAATAAATAAATAAATCTTTAAAAATTCTATTAAAAATAATAATCAATAAAATGCTATTATATTTGAATGATCTCTTTAATATACAATGGTCCAATGTATCTATAATTGCACTTTTAAAAAATGTTTATTTATTTGAGAGAGAGAGAATGCAAGCATGGGAGAGGGGCATAGGGAGAGAGAGAGAGAGACACAGAGAGAGAGAGAGCCCAAGCAGACTCCCCATCTGAGGGCAGATTCCTCACAGAGGGCTGGATCTCACAACCCAGAGATCATGACCTGAGCTGAAATCAAGAGTTGGTTGCCCAACTGACTAAGCCACCCAGGCACCCCTCTATAATATATTGTACCTATTAATGACAGTAATGTTTGCTAAATTTGTGCTATTCAGGCAAGTAAACATTGGGGAGATTATATATATCTTAGTGTAGAAAACAAAAGGGAGAAGAAAGGGAACATTTGCTGAAACTTATTCTTCCACACACAGCACTATTAATACAGTATGGGAGAAGTAAAAACTAGAGGAAGAAAAAGAATTTAGAACATTTATAACCATCTCACATCAGGCACACAAACCCTTAAGACAAAATCCTTCTTAATTGGTTTCTAAAGCTACTCCTGAAAATTTTATATATAAGTACCTTCCAAATTAAAATTTAGCTCTATCTTTTAAAGAGGAAATTAAAAATTACTGTATCTCATAGTGAATTACATTTCCCAATGGGACTTTTAGCCTATGGTGTGCATATTGTCCTACTGTATCAATATTACTAGGATGTCTTTCTTTTCCTTCATTAAATGTAGTATATTTTTAAAAAGCTGTCATTTTATTATGAAAAAAAGGAAACAAAAGAAATTATTTCTTGTGGAAAGCATTTGTGAATATTTTGGCAGGCAACTTTTTTCTAAAATGAAATTTTATGTCCCAGGAAACATTAAAATGCTACTATGAATGGAAAAATCACTCACACACACATACACACACACACCAAAAGCAAATTATTGTATTTCTTGATTTCCCTTTTTTTCATTACACTCTAGGCAAGGTTTTCCAATAGTGCTGGAAAATGAAACAATGGGACATAACCGAGAGTACCTGACTCAGCCATGAGTCTGTGGAGTTAAAGGAATTTGATTCTTTGGCTCAGTTACAGTATTTTGCATTAACAATTATTCCACAAAGCTAGGATATGCTTTAAACAACAAGAGAAGGTATTTAATGGGCCATTGGTTCCAGTTCATGTTTGAACTCTCCTGGTGACAAACAGGTACTTTCTGCATGACTGGTGCTGTATTCTCTATGCTCTGCAAAATCAACATCTGATAGAGGTAAATAAAGTTTAGACTTTTTTTTTTAAGATCCAAACCACCATAAACAGAAAAGCCACCAATGTAATATACCTGTGAAGAATTACATCAAATCTTTCTTTCCAATGTTTTGTCAAAGTATACTAATGGACTATAGTAAAAACTATACAGACTAATGATACATTTTTACACACTCTGGAGAAAAAATATTTCTGAGGCAAAATGTATTTCCAAACATAAATGATCTCCCTTATTTACTCTTCTCCTTCTTTGGGTTTAGAGTAAGACTGTAAGTATTCATAACGTTTTTCTTTATGATGCCCATGAGTAGAAAGCAAAATCTGATATTAGAGAAATATATGTAACCAGATTATTTCAGGATGACGCCTGAAAATAGACACCTGAGCAGTCATGCCATGTGCCTTCTGGCTCCAGAAGCTTTCAGACAAATCCAATTCACTTTCCCATGCTTTCATTTCAGCTAGAAGAGATACAGGATTATCCACAGTCAACTTCCTCTGAGTGGGGGGGTTGGAGGGGGAGTTCAACTTCTTGAGGGAAACAAATAAATGAAGTAAACATCTTTAATATCATGATTCT